TTCTTTCTTTTTTTTTTTGAGTTGGAGTCTCACTCTGTCACCCAGACTGGTTTGCAGTGGCAGGCTCCCGGCCACCACAGCCTCGACCTGCTGGGCTCCAGCAATCCTTCCACCTCAGCCTTCCAAGTAGCTGGAACTACAGGCGTGCACTACCATGCCCGGCTAATTTTTGGTGTATTGTAGAGATGAAGTCTCACCAAGTTGCCCAGGTGGGACCGAATCCACGGGCTCAGGCAATCCACTCACCTCAGCCTCCCAAAGTGCCGGGATCACATTTCAACTGCGATGGCCTCTTCAACCACTCCCTCAGACAAACTAAACCCAGCTTGTCACTTTTCAGATTTTGTCTTCGTTCTTTCATCTGACTGGAAAAGCCAGGAACTCTCCCTCCTGGTGCTCTCACCTGGTTTTACAGTGTTGGCTTCAATGTTACCTCCTAAGACAGTTTTATTCTGATCACTGTGGCTAAGACAGGGCTCCACACCCATTCAAACTATTTTATGTTCTTCAAATCAATTGTCCTTCGGTAGCATTATTCCTTTATTCACTTACATATTTGCTGTTTCTTAACCCACTAGAATGAAACTTTAAACAACACAAGGACAGGGTTTTCATCTTTTGTCTTTACTGCTGAATCCCCAGCAGGAGGAATAATGCCCAGTGTTTAGTAAGTGCCCAATAAATGCATCAATTAAGAACAATACCAACAACAAAATATATAGAGAGTTTGTCATGTCCTAAGTACACTACTAATCACTTTACAACTTTAACCCATTTTCTTATCTTGACAACCCTATGAGTTAGGTGCTATTATTATCCCTGTTTTAAGGATAAGAAAACTGAGGCACAGAGAGGTTAAGGTTACACAGCCAATAGTAAATGGCAATGCTGGGATCAACATGCAAGCTGTCTGACTTATGAGTTCATGTCTAATTTTCTCTTTCCTGGGTCTGAGTGGAACTTTAATTTGGGTTGGGGTTAGGAGGAAGTGATTGATGACTGGATGAAAAAGAAATCGGAGGCCAGGCATGGTGGCTCATGCCTATAATCCCAGCACTTTGGGAGGACGAGGTAAGAGAATTGCCTGAACCCACGTGTTCAAGACCAGCCTGGGCAACTAGGCGAGACCTCGTCTCACCAATAAATCAAAAAATTAGCCGAGGATGGTGGCTTGTGCCTATAGTTCCAGCTACTTGGAAGGCTGAAGCAGAAGGATCGCCTGAGTCCAGCAGGTTGAGGCTGCCGTGCCCGTGAGCGTGTCACTGAACTCCAGCGTGGGCACAGAGTGAGATTCCAACTCAAAAAAAAAAAATCTGAAGTTTCAAATTTTAATGCAAGTCTCAGTCCTAAAAACAGAGAGGCTTCCTTTCATTGTGTGTGTGTGTGTATGTGTGTGTGTGTGTGTGTGTGTGTATGTCCATGCAGTAAGATCACATACAGTCATATGCATAGTGATTCCCTCTCACCATGTGTTTCTCTGCTGATATGCAGGATAAAGCCACAAGGCTATGTCCGGAATGTCCCTATCCATTTCAGGGATGTCTGCGCTGAATCAAAACATTGTTCTTTTAACAAATGAAACAGTAAGCAGCGGGAGTTGAGTTATGAAGGACAATATTCAGAGAATGTTTAGACACATGATTAAATGGCAATTTGGGGAAAAGTGCTAGAAAAAGGAGCTCATTGGCATCTGAAGAGCTTTGTGTGTGGATGTTGTGATGTTGCTTGTAAGTGACTGACTGCGGTGGGAGCTTACCTCTGCCTTCAACTGTTTGGAGGAATCGCACTTTCTCAATTTATATTCCTGCCAACCCTTTTTGTTTGTTCTAGTCACTGCCTTGGTACTTGACTAATCTACTTTTTCATAAATTAGGGTTGAGTAGAATGTGAATAAATCACAGATAACATTTTACCAAAAGGCCTAGATCCAATTGGACTGCTGACCTAGACCCAGAACTGCTGAACTAGACCCAGTTCAAGACCTCACTGTGGAGTTTATTCATCCTAGACAATGCAAACAAGATCAGGAATAATTTGATAGGCATTTTGATGAATAATTTGCAAAGTCACTATCAGTGGGTTAGTTAAATATGTCATGTTTCAACACTTAACCCAGGCTTATTCATCTTATTGTCCAAAAGATAGGATCATGTAACTGAAGTGTCTTTCACAGTTGTGGGCCCTCAACAAATGATTCTGCCATTGTTAAATACAATGATGGTTACCAGATTTCTGACACCTTTTTTCCCAGGCTAGAACACAGAGGAAATGCTGTTCTCGGACTATTATATCCAAACATGCCATGCCCTCGCTACCCTCTCCCAAACATTTTTATTTGCATCTCAAAGGAGATTAGAGGTATGTTTTTTAAAATTTTAAATCAATTCACTTTATTTCTTATCTAAATTTCCAAGAACTTACTCCCTAGTGATACTATAGGCAGCTGTGCAACTCAAACCCAGAGGTACTCCCCCACCCCACCCCATGGCCACCATGTGCCTCTTTGGTTGTTAGAGAAGTTCTCTGGTGCCTAAACCAATTATATTTCTTAGAACCAGGGCTGGTTTCAAGAGTCCCTAACTTGGTTTAATACCCTGCCATCACCATTTTGAAGTTCTTAATAACTCATAAAGTGTGACCTTGCAAATTATGTACCTAGTCCTGCTAGAAAGCATAATGAACATCTGATATGTAGAAACATAAACAATTTTATAAATTTGGATTTTTAAAAATTTTAAGAGTATTTTGTAGTTCTGAAAAAAATTCTACTGTAGACTGTTTCATCACCTGTTAGCAAGAAAAATCTTCTGAATCCCTCTAATGAAGATCAGAATCTAATGAAGATCAAAATGAAATTTCTAAGTCAGGCATGGTGGCTCATACCTGTAGTCCCAGCACTTTGGAAGGCCAAGGAGGGAGCATTGCTTGAGTCCAGGGGTTTGAGATCAGCCTAGGCAACATAGCAAGACCTCACCTCTAAAAAAAGATTTTAAAAATTAGCCAAGTGTGGTGGCATACTCCTATAGTCCCAGCTACTCCAGAGGCTGAGACAGAAGGATCACCTGAGCCCAGGAGGTCGAGGCCATGGTAAGCCATGATTGTGCCACTGTATGCCAGCTTGAGTGACAGAGTGAGACCCCCCAACTCAAAAAATTTTAAAGAAAATTCTATAGAGAGAAATTTGAAACTGGATTTAAAGAATATGAAGCCTATGACAGAGAACATGGTGCTGTTATGAGCACATCCCATAGCTTTAATCATGACTTCTAGCCTGCTCAAGGAGTTTGCCTAAACTAAACCCAACACCACTAGCAGGTAGAAATGTTAGCCTCTGTATCACAGACCATCAGAAAGGTCATGAGCCCTGGGAAACTAAGCGTACCCTTCTCTAGGGACCATTTTATCTCTTTGTTGGCTTGGAAAGCCATGGCATGGCATGAAGCCCAGTCAACCTTAATTCAGATGAATGTTGTTTCACAATTATTTTTAAATCCATAATTCTGATTTTTAACTAAGATATGCTTGCAGTTGGACTGCATTCAGGAATATAGAATAACCTAAATTAGTCTTCAAAAACTTTATGTTTTTTCTTTCCTCAAATAGAGGTCCTTCTGGGATTCGCTTTAATGAATAGATGAGAATAATGCATAATTAGCATATCAGTCGCTTAACACATTCAGGAGAATAACCTTCTTAAGCACTTTATTTAATGCATGTGTATAAAAACTCTTGGAGTTCTGTTTATTGTTTTAATATGTTCAACAAAACTCTTTTTCATGGATTCTTCAAAGGTCAGTTTTTATCCAGCCTATGTCTGCATTTTCAAAAATTGTGAATTTTAGAACTTCAAAATAAAGAGATTTTCCTATATAATAAATACTGATGCTCAGTGGGAATACTTCACAATATCCACGTTATGACTCATTCTAAATGTCTGCTCTTGCCTCCTACAGTGAAAGATAGCTCAATTAAGCTGGGACCTATTTTTTAATTGTTATTTGGTTTTTGGTCTCAAAGGTGAGAAAACAAATGCTTTGGATGCTTGATGTACATCAAGTCGTAAAAGAAACCAAAGCTATGTTTGATCCCTTGGCCAGTCTACCCTCTTCGTTCTCCTACCCCTCTGTCCCTCCCAGCTGCAGAGAGCTGGCCAGGTCTTGCCCCCATGCCTGGTCCTCTCCCAAGCACTTTGATCTGAATGACAGGTAGCGACCTGGGAGTCACTGTTGACCTATTTTTCTCTCCATCCTGTGTTCATGTTCAATCTTTCCCCAAGTCCTAGTAAGTTTACCAACCAACAATGCCACTGAAATCCATCTATTTCCTTCCATTTCTGCCAGCTCTATCCTGGCCCAAGTCAAGACAGCTTCTTAATCAAACTTATTGCTGCCACCTTGTTCCTCTGAACCATCCTTCACACACCTGCCAAGGCAATCCCCTTAAATGCTAAGCTTGATTACATCACTTTCCAGTGATGTAAACCTCTTCAGTGCCTCCTTATTACTCTTAAGAAAAAGACTAAAACTGTGAAAATGGATTTCAAGGTCCTACAAGTCTCACCTCCCCTGCACCTGTCTCACTGTGGTTCAACCTCATAGTCTTTCTTTGCCTTCCTTGAAAGCATCAGGTACCCCACCACCAAGCCTTGGCACTGACTCACTTTCTTTTTCAGGGAATGTTCTTCCTCACAAAAATACTTCTCTCTTTAATATCTTACATAAAATATAGTATTTCCTTGGGGAACCTTTCATGGATCCCCAAGATCAGGTCAAACACTCATCTATATTTCCTCGTAGCCTTCCTTGTACTTTGAGAAACGTATAATCATATGCTTACTTGTGTGAGCGTTTCATTAATGTCGGTATCTCCCCCTGGAGTGTGAGCGCATGGAATTTTGCCCTCCACGGTGGCTCCAGTCCACCCAGGGCCTTTAAGGTTGAAGATGCTCCCTTGGCAAGTCCTCCACCACCGAGTGGGGAGGAGGTAGTGGGACAACTTACCGCGCTCATAAGCGAGTCCAGGACACTGACGGCAAATGCTGTCCCACAGGCAAAAGGCTGAGTGAGGTACAGTTCTGTGTCAGGGTCATCATCATCATCTTGGTCCAAAAACTGAACATTAGTATCGTTCACTAGAAAAGGCGTAAAATAAGAATTAGCTCGAAGACCACACGCAAAAAGCTAAGCCAGAGAGACCAGGCTACTGGTTTAGAAACACTGAAGTCACTGAAAAGGAAACTAAAGCATGGAAAAAGCCATAGATGGATCTTTGGGGTGGGGGTAGTGGGACTCAATGGACTGTTCCTGTTCACTATGTAAGTTTCTGAGACCTGGAGAGCAATGAGTTTGAGCAGGCTTGCTCCATGGCAGGCCGCCGGAGGACCAGCAGATAGTGCTGGTCATTAGTCCTTTGGTATAGTTTTAGAATCTTGACCGAAAAACACCTTGCAGTGTTTTTTGGTATCCAAGTCCTTTGAGGGATGGACATTTTTCAATGATGAGTAGCCATGCTGGGATGGTAGGTTTAGCCACAAAAAAAAGAAAGCCACTTGTTGAGAGTAAAGAGCAATGGGCTGGGAGCACAGCAAAGCAAATAGCAAGGAATTCACCCTCAGGCATGACCCAAAACCTGCCCCGGGAATTAGCCTGGGTAGTCACTGGGTTCCCAGGCCCTGAATCCAGGTCCACACCCAACAGGCTCTGCTTAATACACAGGAAACCCCAGGTGGGATGGATCTCTGGCTGTCTCCCACTGCTTGCTGACAAGGACTTGCTCTGAATTTTGAGTTGCACAGGGACGCCCACATGCTCCCTTTCCCCTTCTAAACAGCTCAATCTTTTATGTGCTTCCACTCAAGCAGATGCAGCAATGGATGCTGTATTTCATTTCCATCTGAGGATTCCTCAAGGACTCCTCCTGCATGCACGTGCAGACTGATTAGTTGTGTCACTCAGATGTCTTTAACTTATTAAAAATTAAATGACAAATTAATTTCCATTCCCATCTTGGCTTCAGAAATTATCAGTTTTGCAGAGCAAGTAATAGGGGGAAAGAGGTGGTAGGGAGGAAAAGGGCACTCATGAGTTCTGGAATAATTATTGTGCTTTTAGGAAGAAAACAGATGAAGAGAGGATGAGTTTTCCTCTCTTTGATTCCTTTCTAAGTGTATCAGGAGCTAATTCTCTTTCCTAGAGTTGTCATTTTAATTTTTTTGGTAACTTTCTTAGTAACTCTTCTCTTTCTTTTTTTTTTTTTTTGAGTTGGAGTCTCACTGTCACCCAGACTGGAGTGCATTGGCCGCTCCCGGCCACCGCAGCCTCGACCTGCTGGGCTCCGGCGATCCTTCCGCCTCAGCCTTCCGAGTAGCCGGAATTACAGGCATGCGCTACCATGCCCAGCTGATTTTTTGATTTATTGTAGAGATGAGGTCTCGCTGCCCAGGCGGGTCTCGAACCCGCGGGCTCAGGCAATCCACTCACCTCAGCCTCCCAAAGGCGCGGGATTACAGACTGAGCCACCGAGCCCGGCTGTCTTCTCTTTCTTAAACTATTGTTTGTTTATTGTATGAGGCAGAATAAATGATACTTGCAGAAAAAGGTAGACATGGAATTTGTATTTTTAAATGTCACCCTCTTGCTTTCCTAGAGGAAGATTCTAGTGGGGGAAATCTTTGCTCTGTTCTTTCAAAGTTGATCACATCTGGGTCCCTGTTGTCTCAACAGTACTTGAATTGCAGGCTAGTGATGAAAATCCAAAATCCAGGCTTTGACAACTGGGCTTTGAATCCAGTCTCTGTCACCAACTTCCTTGGGTTAAGCATTATATCATTCTATATCTTAGTTTCTCTCTCTGTAAAATGGGGGAATCATAGCAGCTCTTTCATGAGGTTGTCAGAAGGCTCATATGAATGAGACTGTACCTGGTGATCTTGGCCTAGAACCTGGATCATGCCATGACTTGATCGATGTCAGCTGCTATCATGACCTCCCTTCTGACATTAAATGTCTTTCAACCTATTACATTATGAAAATGCCCAGCTTCCATCTGTCTCTGAAACACTTATGGCTTTGCTCAGGGGTCTTTGAAGTAGTAGCTTTTCCTTACCTCCCTTCATTTGTCCAAAGGGATGTCTAGTCTTTCTGCTTTGTGAATTAGAACATATAAGCTGGAAACCACATATGGAAGAATGTGTTTTTAGCTATCTGTATGTGTATCAACACTTCAAAAAGAATGGCGTTTGTTACCTCTTTTCAGAAGCATGGGGTAGGGTTGGTACCAGACATGGAGGCAAAGTCTCTCCAAGCAGGGAGAGAAGACTCCAGATTGTCAGTGAACTAGGGATTTGGGGTCATGAAAAAAGCATTCCAAGACATTAGCCAGGATTCAGTGAAAATCCTGAATATTGTTCTTGGATACCCAGTCTCAGAAGGAGAACAACAGCACCCTGTTTCACAGAGGTAATTATGGGCATGCTAACAGATACCCACTAATCTCCTCAAAGCATATATGGTCAACTAGAACTGGGAAACAGAAATGTTAAACAGTTTCAAATAGTTCTTTCTTGTGAGACTTTCAGGAGTCATCATTGTACTAACATCAATTGGGAGTCTCCAAGATGAAGACTAGAATACACTACACAGCTTTAAAAACTTGAGTTTTGGTACCTTCTGTGTCTTTTAAAAGGGATTTGACTGTCAGGCCTAGTGTAACACAGAACATATCTCAGAACATGTAGATAAATAGTAAATGTTTGTAGGTGATGTTGGAGATGAGGTGGTCAGAGGATGGCAGTTATGGCTACCAGAGGCAGAAGGTTAAGGGTGAAGGTGAAGGGTGCAGGGTTTTGTGAGCACCTGCAAGTCTCTGTGTACACAAAGAAGGATCTGGTGAGAGATAAAGGCTTCAGGAGAGTCAACTATGACTAATTATGGCCTTAGGTTCAGGCCATCAAGCTTTTTCTCTTCTCATCTACCAATCACAAGTCAAGATAGCCTGGTTAGTCAGCAGCACATGAATTCCAAATAGAAAAATAAGTCCCTAGCAGTGATGATTCTGAAATGCTGCTATAGGGTTCTAGATGAATTTTCCAATCAGAGGCATGGACCACATAAGATCCTGGGTGTCTTATGGCCCTACAATTCTGAGAAGAGCAATCCAGAAATCTTGGCTTTTAGCCAACTATGCTGGACACAAAAAACACCCTTTCCTATTGTTGGAAACCATACGAGAAAATAGTATGATATGCCTTGATGAGAGTGAATTTGTCCTGATAAATAGTTATATGTACAATAATGTAGTGCTGAATAGTGGACAATTTATTCCTTAGTTTCTAGACACCTTGCAAGCAAGATTATTGTGTTAAAAGTCTGTGCTCTTATTTTGAAATATATTTTGGGGCCAAGAAAACGGAGTGTTCGTTTCATTTGTGAGTCATTTGAAGGCAGGTACTCCCACCTCTCAACCCACTCCTCTGCCGAGCAGCACTTTCACTGTCTCTATTTAGAAGATCAATCCCCAGTTCTGAGACCTGCTGCTGATGGGCGCCCTTCATGGAGTTATTAACCAAGTCATAGGGAATTGGGGAAGGGCCTGACAAATACAATCATGATCAGAGGTCTTTATCTTCCAGATGAGTCCACTGTGAATCTTTCATAAAGCCAGGGGGTGGGGGTCAGAGTGCAAGGCTGCACCTCAGTGGCTGCTAACCTCATCCTCCTTTCTTGAAATCTGGCTTTAGTAAGAAAGGGTCCCCTAGGAACCAGCTGCTTTTATAGCTTCAGAACCAGAGACTGTGAGAAAGAGCCTAGTAGGAAAAAAAAGGCAAATAAAGTCAGAATAAAGGAAAATAAACAGCTGGAAGGAAGGCACTGTCTTAGGTTTCTTATCTTAAAATTTTGATATTTTTCCTTTGACTTCCTCCGAGAACTGTGAAGATGAGTCAGTCAAACTGACAGTGTGTTGGAAGAGGAATATACAGAAGGCAGGAGAGCGGGTGACAAAAAAAAAAAAAAAGGTGGGGAAAAAAAGGGCTCAGGCCAAAGAAAATGAATTAGAGCAAAGATGCTTTGGAAACAACTGCCAGGTCAGATGGGTGTGATCAAAGGTTTACTGATGCTGTGTGGGGAAAAAATCATTAAGAAAGGCCAGAACAAGACAGTCAATTCTAACCAGAGCCACAAATAAAACACATTCAAAGCAGTGCCATGGGGTAGCCTTTCTGTTACAGCCAGTGAAATATATAAACAAGCTGATGATAGTTGGAAACACCAACAACAGAACAAAAGGAGATACTGATGTGAAGGAAAACAGTGATTCTTACCCAGTTCAGTTATCATTAGAATGTGCGTCCCACTGTTTTTTTCCTGATTGACTGATACCAAAGGCAACTTGCCCGGTTTAGCTAATTGGATACGGCATTTAAGGGTTGGGGAAAGGGAGTGGAGGAAAGTACAGAAAAAGAAAAGAGTGAGGGAATAACAGAGGAAACATTCTCAAGTAAAGGGACCCGGAACCATGGATAGTTTGCATTTGTCTTGGAGGGGGAAGAGGCCAGTCTGCAGTTTTGCAAATTCACAAATGGTAGTAGGTAGTGCCATGACCAGGTTAGAAGTTGGATTTGATTGGTTGATAATCACGGCCCTCAAAACTTCATCATTTTTTGGGCCAGGATGGCATTTGCTGAAAAAGGCCTTTGGCTGAGAAGTTCAACTAAAATAGGTAAAATGTAAAGTTATTGCAAAACAGCCCAATGCATCTACCTCATTCTTAAGATGGGTTTGACTTAGGCCTGAGGCTTTGTATATCAGTGGAGAGGTTGAATAGTAGGAGCTCTCCAGACAGAAGCCTCAAAAAGTTGTTTCTAGTGAAAATTACCAGAAAGAATATATGGACTAAGCCTTTCCTCCTTACCTCCCACTTCCCGATGTATGCCCCAATTACAAATCCATCATCTCATGCTCCTTCGAAACCATGACTAGAATGAAGGAAACTATCTATGCTTCTCAGAGGAAAGATAGATCAGTTTTCCTTCAAGTAATCTGTCACATTTCTACCCATATCTCTCTCCAACCACCCCACCGCCACCACCACCACCAGAACCAAATAAAACCCACTAGAGTCTACAAGGCTGAAAGGGCTGAGAAACAGACCAGATTCCTCATACTGTCTGTTCTGGATGAGAGGACAATTCTCCCCAACACTGACATTGACCCGTACCTAGTTCAGTGATGATGGGGATGTTGACCCCAGTTGTGATGGACGGCTGGCGTAACATCCCATGCACTGGGCTGTTATCTGGAGAGGATCTATCCATTCCTGGAGGTGTGAACCCTAGTGAGAAGGAAAGAGAGGAGGGAGAAAAATCAGAGAAGTGGAAAATTTGGAAATGATGAGAGTACAATGTAGACACACAACCCCCAAAACACAGCTTATGCATTATTTACAGGTCAACAATTAGCACTTCTAGGATAAAATGTGATGAGTTATTTTTTAGAAAAAAGTAGGAGGCCATTTTAAATAATTCTAAAAGTCTGGACTCCACACCAATTATTTATCCTCTCCATAGATTTTGGTTCCGTTTCTCCTTCCAGACACTCAGAAGGATTAACCCATGTGCCCCCTTGAAGTTAGCTATGACTGACTAGCTGCCTCTCTTTTCCCAGGCCATGGCAATTGTGGGGACACAGGTTACTATGGAGATGAAGGCTGAACAGAAACTCTGGACAGTTGCCCAGATTCACAAAGTATTCTGAGTGAAAAATGAAGTTGTGTTGCTTTAAGCCCCTGAGATTTGTTTGCTTGCTTGTTGTTGTTGTTGTTACCACAACATGACCTAACCTACCCTGACTGTTATCTTAAACCAATTGGTTGTTTAGTGACCTAGGTCTGGGTTTTGACACAGTGCTGATCAATGGGATGTGGGAAGTAAACTGCTTGAGAGCTTTAAAAAAGAAACAAATGGGAAGAGACTCTCTTTTAATTGACTAAACATTGTTCTATGTGCCTGTAGTGCCATTGCTCTTGAAAAGAAACAAATAGAAAGAGACTCTCTTTTAATTGACTAAACATTGTTTTATGTGCCTGTAGTGCCAAGAACTGTGGCAGTCATCTTGCAACTAGAATGGACACCAGCTGCGAGCAAAACCAACTTAATGATATTGGCTGAACTGAATGATAGAAAGAACTGCCCTGAAGTTATACATATGCACCAGAGGTACTTAAAATGTATACACATTTAAGAGATATTAACTATGTATTACGTTTCAAAGTTGAATTGAAGTATGGATAGTAATGTATAGTACGATGTTCGGTCAAATGATGGTGTTAATCAAATGAATGCTAGTGTCACCATGCAACAGGCAGGACAGTCAAAGAAAATGGTGGGAACACAATTGTAGTTCAAGGAGCACAAGAACATTTTGAAGTGGTGCTTGACTTAATACCCCTTGACTTCTACCCATGGGGGACCTTAAAGGATGTGGTGTACCATAGAAAACTGGCTACATTGGAGGTACTTTGGGAAGAAATTGAAATGGCATGAGCAGCCATACAAGTGGACACTTTGGTCAATGTTGATCAAGCATTAGTTCACCATAATCAGAAGTGTCTAGATGCTGATGGTAACCACTTTGAGCATCTCTTGTAGTTGCAGAAATCAAGCATACTTGTATTCGTCTTTTGTTGTCAGTATATATTGAGTATTAAAATTTTTTTTTTTTTTTTGAGTTGAAGTCTCACTCTGTCGTCCAGACTGGAGTGCAGTGGCCACTCCCGGCCACCTCAGCCTTGACCTGCTGGGCTCCCTCCGGCGATACTTCCGCCTCAGCCTTCCAAGTAGCCGGAACTACAGGCATGCACTACCACGCCCGGCTGATTTTTTGATTTATTGTAGAGATGAGGTCTCATTGCCTAGGCGGGTCTCAAACCCGCGGGCTCAGGCAATCCACTCACCTCAGCCTCCCAAAGGTGTGGGATTACAGGCTGAGCCACCGAGCCTGGCTGAGTATTAAAATTTTAATACAATTTTTCCTTTCTTAAAATGTGGAACTTTTTTTGGCAAAAAATACACACAATTTAAGAAAAAAATTAAAATATTTTTTAAAATATACATGTTTTAAGAAAGAAAAAACTGTATTAAAATTATAATACTCAAGCTGGACTCGGTGGCTCAGCCTGTAATCCCAACCTTTGGGAGGCTGAGATGAGTGGATTGCCTGAGCCCGCAGGGTCAAGACCCACCTGGGCAGCGAGACCTCATCTCTACAATAAAAATAAAAAAAATAAAAAAATCAGCCAGGCGTGCTAGCGCCCGCCTGTAATTCCAGCTACTCAGAAAACTGAGGTGGAAGGATTGTCGGAGGCCAGCAGGTCAAGGCTGTGGTGGCTGGGAGTGGCCACTGCACTCCAGTCTGGGCGACAGAGTGAGACTCCAACTCAAAAAAAAAAAAAATTATAATACTCAATATACACTGTTAACAAAAGATTAACACCATCTTTTGAGTGAATGTCATACTACACATTGCTACCATAATTCAACTTCAAAAAAGTAATACATAGATAACATCTCTTAAAATATGTATACATTTTTGGCACCCCTGGTATATATGTACACATACAATATATAATAATATATTTATACAAGTATATACACAAAATGTAATGATAGACATATTTTTTTCTTTCTGTTTAAGCCAAATTGAAAAGGTGTCTCTTTACTTGTAGCTAGCATCCTTCTGACTGTTATCCATGCTACCTACTTATGGTCAATCCCTTGAACTCCCCAGGGTGCCCAGCACTGACCTCATAAAATGCATGTGGGTACAATAAAACTAAAAAGTAGTCTTCTTTGTCTACAATGTTGCAGTTGGGGCTTCTTTGGGTGTCAGGTCCAAGTCCCGAGTACATATCTGAATGGACTTGGACCAACTGTAACTTTAAGGTTAGTGAGAGTAAGAAAACATCCCAGTTAGCAGAATGACTACCCCTTTAAGAATGTTCATAGAGACACATAAACATGAGGAACTTATTTACCTCATACATTTATTTGTGAAAGTTAGTTTTTCCAAGTGAAACATGTGGCAAGCAGTACCATCAGCTTCATGCAGATGGCAAGGACCAACTTGCTCATACCTTATTTTGGGACAGGCAGCCATTTACATTCACGTAGGTTTTTCTTTTTGCCCCCGATTGATTGCTACATGAACTTACCAATGAATTAGAAACTTATAGGAACAGAGTCACTTGCTAAGTTTCCAAGGACAAAACTCCAAATAGATTACCACATGACCAGATTCCTGACTCACTCCCCAGCAATGTGACAAGATTAGGTTGAATCTGGCATTTTGGCTAGGTGTAAATCAGGAATAAAATGACAGATGTTCAATAATTGCTTATTGTTTTGGAGTTGCATAATGCATGAAATGTCAGAAAAAATATAAAAGAGTTTTCTTTTTTGCTCTCCTGTGTATACATTTCTTATCATTGAGTGCCATCTATTCAGAAAGAAAAAAGTTTTAATACTCATTCCCTGGTTGCACTTAGTCTAACTATCTCTATTAATATTTTGTGGACAGGGTAAGTCCTTTTGAGTGACATTGCAGAGTCCATCTTCCTAAACTTTGGAATATGTGTTTTTCAGTCAACCACATAACCAAAAACATGCATTTTAAATGCTAGTTGTTTTCTTCCCCTAGAATAGTGAAGGGGAAAACCAAACTGTTTTCATCAGAAGTTTCATTCAAAAGCATGAAAAACTGCAAGTGACAGCTGTGCAGATTCAGTGGATGTGACGTTTTTGAATTTCTTCAACTTGACAAGTAAACACCTTAAATCGGTAATGCTATATGCATAATACATGGCCTGTATTTTGACATCCATCATCAAATGCTGACTTGAGAAAATATGGGTTTGTACGTCAAGGAATAGCACCCATAAAGCAGGGAGAAATGCAGGTCACACGGTATTAGGAAAACTGTATTTCATTACAGAACCTGCAACAAGCCAAAGCGTCCTTTTATTTTATCTTATTTAAAGATTCCATTTTCAGCTGTGAAAAGACTCAATTCCTTTGCATGAAACCTTCATTTAAAAATGACACGCTTGCTTCATAGGCCTCTTTCATTTTGCTTTCATATTCCATTTTCCCCTTCAGTCGCTAAGACTGGTTCCATTAGCATCTGCAACTGACAAACTATGGTGGGTATCCAAAGACATCTCTCCACTGAAGGCCTGTCTCTCCCCTATGCATGACCCAAGAAAAGGGTGCTTTTGTTGGCAAGAAAACATCAGCAATGATCATGCCTCTTTTCATTTCCCTACTTTGCTAGTAGCACATTTTTTAAAGCAAAGGCGACAAAAACAAAAATTAGATTTTCTCTTTTTTCCTTGTGTGGGGTTGTGTTAAAGAGGAACAGAATTTGTCAGCATTGTTTCTTTCTTAGGGGTCCTAATATGGGAAATTTGTGGTCTGAAATTGCAGGCTAACCCAGACTCCTTAAATGGCCTTGGAGAAAAGAAGGATTCAGACACCTTCCATCCAAAGGGAGGAGACGGTCCAGCTTTGGTGTCTTATGATGGTGTCCACCCCATTCATCACAGTCACAGTTGATAAGGAAACATGTCTAAATTGTGTCCAGGTCGTTCATGGTCTTGCTCCTCACCCCATTACTGTTTGCAGCAGTGGCTACATCTTGGGTTGCACTTTATGTCTCTACATGAAACAATACTCTGGTTCTGCATGTGAGAAGCACTGGCACGTGGAATGTATTCCAGGGATCTACAGCTAGGAAACAGTAAAACTGGGAGATGCTCCCTTCATTAGTTAAACTAACACTCAGAAAATTAATTTTAGAACAACCACTTATTTTGCCAGAAGAGATGACTAAGAATATCAGCATTAGAGAGATGGAATGAGAAGTCCTCAATAAGGAAAAGACTCAAGTCATCCACAGTCCAAACTCTCATCGAGATAAGCTGATTATTTAGATGTGTCCCTGTTTCCCTCTATTCATCATGCCATGGAGGCAAGTTTTGTCTTGACTTCCAAAGCCTACCACATCTCCTTAAACTGAGTCCCTCAACATTCCAGTCTTCAGGGGCAGATGTCGTAGGCTTCCATTATCTGTTTTGTTCATGTGGCATGAGGCATAAATAGCTCTATCAACATTAGCTCATACCAAGTATTCTCATTCCATATGCTACATGCTGTAAGAACTTCAGGCCAGAGACTGAGTTTTCCACTTCTTTGAACTTCTCATATTATCTACAAAATGTTCAGCACATAGAAAATATAAAGAATGGAATAGTTAAGAGCACAGACTTTGAAGTCAGATA